CTGTTTTGGAAGAAGTGCAGCCAGAGTGCTCCTTGGAGGCCAGGATGGCTAAGCTTCATCTCTCATACTTTGGACATATTGTCCAGAGGAAACAATCGTTGGAGAAGGAGGTCATGCTGGGTAAGGTGGAGGGTCAGAGAAAAAGTGGAAGACCTCTAACGAGATGGATTGACCAGGTGGCATCATTGATGGACTCAAGTGTGGTAGCGGTAGTGAGGTTGGCCCAGGATTGGAAATTGTTTCGTTCTGCTGTGCATGGGGTCACTATGAGTTGGTTCCCACTCGATGGCACCTGACAACAACAACAACAAAAAAAAATCAATCTTGAGTTTCCCAAATAATTATTTACTTGTCATTATCTTATGAATTATAGTTAATTTCAACTACTGGCATATACACTGCTTTATGATATGGAGTCTTGGTGTGGTGCTGTAGGATAAGCACTGGACTGATAACTGAAAGGTCGGTGGTTCAAATCCACACCAGCAGTTCCTCAGAAACCCTGTACAGGGTCATCATCAGTCAGAACCAACTTGACAACATTTAACAGTAACAGCAACAACAGCATGATATGAGAATCTAGCTCTTACACTTCCATATTACACAAAACAAATAATGTTTATATTGCATTAACCCTCATAAAATATATCTCAGAAAGGAAATATATTGTTGTTGTTAAGTTTCATTTAGTTGGTTCCAACTCATAGTGACCCTGCCTAGGGTTTCTGAGGAGCAACTGGTGGGTTTGAACCACCAACTTTTTGGTTAGCAGTCCAGTGTTTATCCTACTGTGCCACACCAGAGTCCATTATTCCATGCATATTACATGACACAAAGTTATAGACAACCTACATAGAAATCAATAAATGATATCCTGTGAATTTTGGGGACATTGTTTTCATTCCAAGGTATACCTTCCTGTGCTCAGAAAAAAAAAAAAAAAATGTATTTTTCTGCAAAAAAAAATTCATATGCCAAGAGTTATAAAATTAAAAGAGAAGAATACATTCCAAAATTCTCAAGCCAAAAGAACTAAAGCATTTAAGACTCAAGTTGTAAAATATTGAACAATAAAGGAAGTATCTAAAGAAGATAGAAGAAATACAAAGAGTTATTGTACCTAAGTAATTAGTTGATACCCAAGCATTTCTTGAGGTAGTATATGAACAAGAACTGACAGTATTGAAGAAAGAAGTCCAAGCTTCACTGAAGGTATTATCTAAAACAAGTCTTCAGTAATTGACAGAATACTAATTTAAATCAGGCCAACAGACTGGAAGATCTGTATGTGTGCCCATTCCAAAGAAAGGTGATCAAAAAGAATGCAGAAATAAGAGAACTAGATCATTAATATTGCAAGCAAATACAATATATCAATAGAGAGTTTCCAGTATTCAAACCAGATTCAGAAGAAGACATGGAATGAGGGATATCATTCCTGATATCAGATGAATATTGGTTGAAAGCACAGAATACTAGAAAGACATTTGTTGTTAAGTGCTGTCAAGTTGGTTCCAACCCATAGCGATCCTATAAGGGGCTTCCAAGGAGTAGCTGGTGAGCTTGAACTGTTGAACTTGCAGTTCAAACCAACTTTGCAGTCCAATGCATTAACCTACAGAGCCACACTAGGATTCCAGAAAGATGTTTACTTGTGTTTTATTGACTATGCAAACACACATGACTGTGTAAGTAGTAACAAACTATAGATAATACTGCAAAGAACAGAAATTTCATAACACGTAATTATGTTCGTGCAGCACTTATATATAGACCAAGAAAGAGCTGTTCATTTGAACAGACCAAGGGGATACGGCATAGTTTAAATTAAGAACAGGCATGTACCCAATTATATCCTTTCACTATAGTTATTCAATCTGTATAGTAAGTAAACCATCTGAGAAACTGGCCTATATAAAAAAGAACACAGTGTGAGGATTGGAGAGAGACTAATTAGCAGCCTGCAATATGTATATGACATAACTTTACCTGCTGAAAGTAAGAGGACTTGAAAGTGTCTGGCAGCTCCCTGTTGCACTCCCTACTGATGTGAGCTTCATAGACTGAGGAAGCTCATTCCATGTTCAGCAGCTAATCAGGCAGGCTGCTCGATCAAGTTCCAAGAACCAGAGGTTAGATGATGAGAGCTGAATGCAAGATCCAGAATAAAAAGCTAGTGAAGTTTACCAGAACATCCATATGTATTTAACACAGGCCACACACCAGAAATCCGCTTTCAACTGATTGGGTTCTCAAAGGATATCCCATCAAGGGAGATGACTACATCAGAGTACTATGATCCAACTAAGCTGGTACACAACCTTAACCATCATAGATACATGCTTTCAAGAAGTTGGCCATTTAAATGAGGACTGTATAAACAGTAAATACAGGAATATATTATATGAAGATATATTTCTGGCATAAAATATTCAATGCATTAGTTGTGATGGGAATTCACTACTTTGTCAGGTAGAGACAACAGATTCTGTTGCCTGATTGATCTAGGAGGCATACTGCAAGGATAGCATCTGCATTGCCAGCATGCCCAGGTTCTTGGAACCAGTAACTAAATTCATTCTTAACTAAGTCTCTTGTTTTCATTTGTCTTTGCCCTATGGCTAAGTCTCTTTCTGACTGGTTTTACAGAAACCAGTCATCCAAAAGTTTGGAGTCTTATTGTCTTTATAGTAAAAGAGTAATAACAATGACACTTTCATTAAGGCTTAAAAGGATTAAATTATTTCTTGTATGTAAAAGTGCTTGAAATATTATGATGATGCTAATTTTTAAAATCTATGCTAGCTTAAGAAAATGTTAATATTATTATTCACGATCTAGCCAATACACACCTATCACTTATGTAAGACCAGAGGAAATGAAAGTGTTAGCAGAGACATATTTTTTTTCTTCTCAATTCATGGCAAAATTGAGTTGAGGTTCAGAGTAATCTGAAAAATGCAGGGGTCTGTATTACTAACAGAGGGAGGCTGATGATAAACAGAAAGATGGTAGGTTTCTAAGAAGAACATTTTCTGCTTCAGAGTAAACCTAGAATATATCCCTTTTTCAGTAAACTATCAAGATTGAAATCACAACAGTTCAAGGGAAAAATAAGATATATATCTGAATACTCAGAATATACTATTAATTGTTTTACACTGCTATAAAAAATGAGTATGGATTAAACAATGTTTCCTGATGGAATTTATAACTTAGAAAATTACTTTTGAAAACAGATATTTAATTTCATGGGGAGTGAGTGTGGGGTGAAGGAAAAGGAGAATAGAAGCAGATGAACGATGACTAGAACCACTTGCAAAATACTTGCTGTCTCTTTTTCTCTAGGAGTCACAGATGAAAGCAATGAAAGAGACAGTACAGCTGTGCCTGACCTCTGTTTTCCGTGATCAACCGCCGCCTTTGAGTCTAATCACATCAAATCCAACTCAGCTGTTACTTCCATCCAGGAAATTTGACTCTAAGATTCCATACTCAGCGACAGAAAACAAGGTACACTCTATTCTCATTCTGAAAAGTAAAATCAAGTACTATTCTGCTTTGCCAGTTTATTCCATCTCATAAGATTAGAATCAGAGGATATACAATTCATTGAATGATTAGGAAGTAAATGAAGATAACAACCCAGTTTTTAAGGTCTTTATAATAACTTTGAAGACCTTGGCAGGAAACTTTTCTTGACAGTTGTTTCATACATAAGGTCAGATGAGTGTATAAAAATATAAGGTCACATGAGTAGATAAAATATGTTTTGCATTATAATCAAATACACACCACATGTTTGATATGAGAAGTATTTTCTCTTGGAATATAAACATCATCTCATTACAACACATGGATATCTTTTGTTTGTTTTAGGCCTGTAATTTTCAAGTCTGATACACAATAAAATATTTGGGAAAATTGTAAAAAACAAAATCTGAAAATGTTCCCCACCCCAAATCTATTATACAATCAGATCATTTCAGGCTGAGCTGCACTCCCATTAGTTTTAAAAAGCTCCCAGGTGATTTACTGTGCAGCCAATTTGAGAATCACCGAAATAAGCGACACATTTTCCAAATCAAATCCCCATTATCACCACAATCCACACAGGGCAAAGGAACATTACAGTGATGTTTTTGTTTCAATCTCCAGAAACTTCACTGTGTGGGCTACAGATTCCAATGAATCAGGATAACTTGAGATAGTTATGGAAGAAAGGAGTTTAGTTTCAGTCAGTATATTAAAAAGTGACTCTCCGATCACTTGCCTGAGAATCATTTCACTTAAACCAGTGTAGATACCAGCTATCTGTAGTATAATTATAGCATCCTGGTATGGCACTGTAGGATAAACACTGGACTACTAGCCACAAGGTTGGTGGTTTAAACCTACCAAACATTCTTCAGAAATCTTTTAGAGCCTCTGAGTTGGAACTGACTCAATAATACTCAACAACACCAGACACCAGCCCAGCTTCTAAATGCACATATCTAGAGGCCAATCCGGAGTCTTGGTGTGACACTGTGGGCTAATACGTCAGACTGCAAAGTCATTTGAACTGCAGGGTCAGTGTTTCAAGCTGACCAGCTGCTCCTTGGAAACCCTATACATGGTCGCTATGGGTCAGAATCGACTCGATGGCACTTAACAAGAAGAAGCAGCGGTGAATCCAGAAAATCTGAGACCCATTGGCCCAAATACCCAGTGATGAATTCTTTCTAGGGCTCCCTCTCATTCTGCTCATTGCTGTGATTACCTGTATTTGCATTAAAGAAGGTGCATGAGAAATTGTGAAATAGAGAAATACTATTTTCAGGATAAAAAAATAAAAACCAAAAATGATTTAAAGTTCATTTTTATGTGTAACTAGTCAATTATATAATGAACCTTGGTGATGCAGTAGTTAAGCACTTGGCTACTAACAAAAAGGTCAGTGTTTGAAACCCAACAGTTGCTTCATGGGAGAAAGGTGTAGCAGTTTACTCTCATAAAGATTACAGACTTGGGGAATTCTACTCTCTATTATTTGTTGTTGTTGGTAAGTGCCGTCGAGTCAGTTCCGACCCATAGTGACACTGTATAGGGTTTCCAGAGAATAACTGGTGAACTTGAACCACCAACTTGCAGTTCAAACAACTTTGCAGTCCAGCGCATTGACCTATGGTGCCACACCAGGACTCTCTACTATGAGACATTCTAAATCAGAACCAACTGGATGGCAATGGGTTTTGGTTTTCTCAATTATATGAACTATAAGATATAGTCTATAATTTTACTTCAAAAATTATTTTTTTACTTGCTGTTCTGTTGTTGTTTTTTTGGAAACTTTATATTGTGAATTCAGTAAAGATTTAGAAAGCAGGTTATCATTTTTGTATTTAACAAATCATGCACTTTGCAATCCCCTCTATGGAACCACCAGTTATCCCACTTCCTCACTGTGGTTCTTATTTACATTTCACCCTCTTTCCCAATTCTTCTGAACTTTGTTCTTAGACAAATATTTCCATTTTGATCTAGAATCATGTTGAGCATACCTTACTAGTGTTGTTGTTCCCCTATATACTCATCTACCACTTGGGTGGAAATTGGGCCTTGTGGGTGAGTTTCATTCCAGGCTTCAAGGGTGGTTACTAGCCATTGTCTTGTTGTTGTTGTCAAGTGCCGTAGAGTAGATTCTGACCCATAGCGATCCTGTAAGGAGTTTCCAAGGAGTAGCTGGTGAGCTTGAACCACCAACCTTGCAGTTCAGATGGCTTTGCAGTCTGGTGCATTAACCCACAGTGCCACACCAGGACTCCGTCGTCTTGTTGTTGTTGTCAGGTGCCATCGAGGTGCAACCGACTCATAGCGACCCATGCACAGCAGAACGAAACAATGTCCGATTCTGAGCTAACCTCACTACCACTGCCACACTTGAACTTTTAAGATCCCACTTACTACATCCCAAATTAGGATGTAGAACATTGTTTTGGAGACTATGTTATGCCAATTGAACATGGCATTCTCTAAGATAATTATCATGAGCCCTTCATTGTCTCAAGGTGTTTGGTAATATCTAAGAAGTTTTCATAATTTTACCTCTGGTATACTCTACCACTACTGGTGCCTCCTCTAAGTAGAGTTGACATTGATAACGAGAAAGGAGTAAAGTCTTCAGGATCTTCACTTGCTAATGGGGTATAACTCAAAATTAAGAGAAATAGCTGTAAACATTCGTTAATAGAGCATAGAATATATGAAGTTTAATCTCAGAAAATTGGAAATTGTCAAAAATGAAATGGAACACATAAACATTGATATCCTAGGCATTAGTGAG